GACCTCTTTAGATCGTTCTGTAATATTCCAGTGGTTGCCGCAAGGAATGACGTCATAGCTCCTGCAAAAGTAATAACAATCAAAGCCGTAGGTGAGTATTCAAATAAAGGGGAGCACCTTGCTATCATGAAAACGCCAGCCGTTACCATAGTAGCTGCATGAATCGAAGCGGATACTGGAGTGGGACCCTCCATAGCATCGGGTGACCAAGTATGCGATCCTATCTGTGCAGATTTCCCAACAGCACCAATAAGAAGTAAAATACAAATAAGAGTTATGGCATTCAATCTCATATTGCAAGAAATCCAAGAATTTCTAGGGGCACTAGCACAAGCAAAAATGGTTGAAAAGTCTACTGTTTGAAAGAGAGTAAAACGACCCGAAATCCCAGGAGCTAATCCAAAATCACCTACTCGATTGACAAGCATAGCTTTTATAGCTGCTTTATCTGCCTGAAGTCGTGTAAACCAGAAATGAATTAACAAATATGAAGCAAGACCTACTCCCTCCCATCCCAGGAATAATTGAAGAGAGTTATCTCCAGTCACCAACATTGGCATAAAAAAAGTAAGAATGGATAAATAACACATAAATCGAGGGCTATGCGGATCCTCAGACATATATGAAATGGAATAAAGATGGACCAAGCTACTTATGAATGTAACCACAATTAACATCACTACGGTCAGGCTATCGAACACGGAGTCAGAAGTGAATTACGAGTCGGACCAATTTGCGAATCGAGCGAGCTCCCCTTGCATGCAATGATGTGGTGGTGAACCTCTCATTCTAATTCAGTGCTCTCCGAACCGTGCGGGAAGGTTTCCCATCACACGGCTCACCAACTTGATCTTCCGCGGGAACCGTATGTCCGAACAGGCCTGGAAAAATAGGTACGATCCCGCTTTCCTTTGCCACTCAAGTGTACGCGCCTAGGCCCCTTCTTCCCTTCCCTAATGAAAGAGTCCACCGCCCGCCTTAGTAGTCTCAGCGTGCAGGCCTGCCTCTTTTTTTAGTAGCACTACCGAAGCGAAGAAAAGGCTGGATCAAGAAAAGGGGGTACTACGAGCCCTCTGCCCCACGCATCTAACCAGCTCGCGTGGTTCACCGGTTCCACCGACTAGACCCTTAGAGTGATTCAGTCGATACAGAGGTGCGCTTGAAGTGGGGGGTGTGATGTCCCTATTGGGCTGGGCCCTTCCCCGGAAGGCCCCACCGTCGGGGCATAAGCGCCCTCTTGCTACCCATATGCGAGGCGCCGTCTTAGCCTTCCCTGACCAGGATCGCTCCCACACCTGTAGCGTTCGTGATCGGCCTACTCAACTGTGTATCGATCGAAAGGCAGGGCGGCACAGCCCTGAACCAAGGGAGTGATTACGTCCAGTATGTCCCCCCTTATTCCCGACATGCTATGGTACCCCGGGGTGGGTAGGAGCGGGTCGAGTCCGTATCGCCGCGGAGCAACAGCCGCGTCCGGATCTGATCTATCTACTCGGCAATTCATCCGGTGACTTCACGGTCGCCAAAGAAGCCCCAAGAAGCATCAAACATTTCCGATGAGATCCATGGAGCAATTCTTAGATAGCAAGCACTAGCTCCCGGTGCGACTTCATAAAAAGCAATCAAAGATAAGATCGAAGAGAATGAAACGCACGTAGTGGTCATTATAGCGGTTCCTTCTGATCCTAGAAAACGTCCGAAAAAACCTGCTACGGAACTACCGAGCAGAGGCAAAAATACGATAAGTAGATACATAATTTAGAGTGTGATCAGACAACCAAAAATCAGACAATGACAGAGCGGCCTGTGATCGAGTGATAGATTGATCGACGTCCGAAGAACGCTCGACCGTGAGTCCCAAGGTGAAAGGAACTTCTCAAATGGGGTCCGGCTCTATGAGCTCCTGGGCTTCAACTAACACACTTGAGGAAAGATAGAAAGAACTCTTCTTTATATACACAATTCTAAAAACTGAACTCACTTCGCTACCTTTCTCCGAGTGACTAATCAATTGGGGAATAGGGGCTTAAACTCGAGTCAACAAGCCACCAAAGAGAAGAGAAGAAGAAGACAAAGAACGAAGCCGGATCATCTCTTCCTTCTGGCTCCATCTATGGCTTATGGATCTTGGGGATGGTTTCCAATGCCCTGGAAGCGAAGAGACTTAGAGGAGAAGGCTTACTTGTCAAAGGCAGGCTTAGAGGCTCATTCAAAGTTGCAAGCTGATCCACTTCCTTTATCAATTACGGGGGAGCCATCCTAGGCCCTAAAGCGAACCTATACCTTTCACTAAGGCTATCTCTCTCTGCAAATCCCATTCCTATGGTCAAATTCCTATCCCTCAGCTCTAGGTGACAAGGAGCGTAAGATCCTACACTATACTGCCTTTCATCCTAAGGCCTATGGTCGATGACCCCGCTCGAACTCAAGGAAGTCTCTTTCGTTATGACTGATTCTGCCAACCAAATGAGCTAAAATCATGATTCAATCAATCTAGTCCCAAAATTCCCTTATCTTATCGAATGAGCCTCTAACCCAGGCTTTCCATCCCTTACAACTACCTTCCTCTAAGGCATCAGCCATTACCTTACTATAATCTAATAGGAGGCTCCCTACTCATTCCAAGAAAAGAAGCCAAAAAGAACAGAAAGAAGTCTACGAGCGCCTATCTCTTCTCTTATCCACGCATATCGGTCTTTCTCCGGCTGCTCCAGGTAGTGCTCTTGGCTACTGCTTGCTTGGGACATTCTCTACTTACGGCTCTCAGCGGCACCCTCATTCTATCATAGATCGTAACAACCAGGCCCGTTGAAAACAAGAAATCGAAAGACTTAGATGAGAGCCTCTCAACCTCCTCTGAGTGCTATTCCCATCGTCAATTCTCTCATTCATTCACACGAAGGACTAACCTCTCCCTAAGGTCTGTAATGTACCGCCTCATTCTATTAAAGTAACCTTTCATCCTCCTTAAGAAGACCATCCTTAGAACACGGGACTCTCAAGACAAGAAGACAGATCTTTCATAGCAATCTATTAAGAGCGCTTGGGCAGCTGGATCGAAGGGCAAGCGGAAGGTAGAACCTATACTTTGATGACAAGAAATGGAAAGAAGGATGCAATCGCGAATCTCTTTCTAAGAACCGGGGCCCTTACTCATCCAGCACTCGAAGATATCTAAATAGAAAGGGATGCTCTCGCCTAATAGAAGCCCTAGCGCCTACTTCCTTGATTACAAGAAAGGAAGATAAGGCATCAGTGCAACGGAGAAGAAGCCTTTCCAAGATTAGAAGGAAGTGTAGCTATCCACAAGAGCGTCGGAAGCTATACAGTCCTCGTCTATTGTGGTATGAAGCGTCTGCCTACCTTACTATAGATAGGGATAGGATAGACAAAAGATAGATGAACGAGACCTGGACGTCATATATCTGTCTCGGCGCTTCCATGTAAGAT